AATTCAGAATTTAGACTTGCAGCAACATCAGCTTGTTGTGTTCACTGTTGCAGATAACAATCTTAGTGGATCAATCCCTTCAGAATTGGTTGGTCTTAAGAATCTTCAAATACATCAACCTCGCTAATACTCTCTGGCGAGATTCGAGCACAGCTTGGTGAACTCAGTGAGCTTGAATATTTGAATCTCCTTGGTAATCAGCTTGAAGATTCGGTTCCAAAGACTAACGAACTTGGTTAATCTTCATAATGTAGACTTGTCTGCAAACAAGATCTCGGGCAAAATTCCAGGAGAATTGGGTAGCATGAGTCAACAGGTTTACCTAGTGCTGTCAAGCAACAATCTCACTGGTGAGATTCCAAAAGGCATATGCTCCAATGCCACCAGTTTGCAACGCTTGATACTAGCCCAAAAACAGCTTTCTGGTAGAATGCCAGTGGAACCAAGGGACTGCAGGTCAGTGATGCAGCTTGATTTGTCCAATAATGCGCTAAATGGGTCGATACCATCAGTGCTTTATGAGTTGATTCAATTGACTGATCTCATGCTTAACAATAACACTTTGGTTGGTTCACTGCCTCCGCTTGTAGCAAACCTAACCAATCTGCAGAAGCTGGCACTGTACAAAAACAACGTACAGGGCAATCTACCTAAAGAGATTAGGATGCTTGAAATCTTCAGATGCTATTTCTCTCTGACAATGAACTATCTGGAGAGATCCCAGTAGAGATTGGTAACAGCTCCAATTTGCAAATGATTGATTTCTTTGGTAATCAATTTACAGGGCAGATTCCCATTACTATTGGAAGGCTGAAGCAGCTGAATTTCACTCACCTCACACAGAATGATCTTAGCAGAGATTCCTGCCAGTGTGGGCAGCTGCCATCAACTAACCATCCTTGATTTGGTGGACAATCGATTGTCAGGCAGAATTCCTGTGACTTTTGGAAGCCTTCGTGTTCTGGAGCTGCTAATGCTATACAATAATTCTCTTGAAGGTAATCTGCCTGATAAGCTTATCAATGTTGCAAATCTGACGAGGGTCAATCTTTCGCATAACAGACTCAATGGTAGCATTGCTCCACTCTACAGTTAGCTTTCTTTTCTGTTTTTTGATGTTACAAACAATGCATTTGATCAAGAAATTATTAATCAGATTGGAAATCACCTTTGCTGGAAAGATTGAGGCTGGGAAATAACCAATTTACGAGCAAAATCCCTTGGACACTGGGTTTAATCAAAGAACTGTCTCTATTAGATCTCTCAGGTAATTCACTTACCGGAGAGATGCCATTCCAGCTTTCCCTGTGCAAGAAATTGACTCATCTTGATCTCGACAACAGCCTTCTTTTTGGGCCGATTCCATTTTGGATTGGGAGTCTTCCTCTATTGGATGAGCTCAAGCTCTCCAATCAATTTTCTGGTTATCTTCCTCGTGAATTATTCAATTGTTTTAAGCTTCTGGTCCTGTCTCTGAGTGGGAATTTACATAATGGTTCCCAGCGTCCTGAAATTGGTAAACTCGAGCCTTTAAACGTTCTCAATCTTGACAGCAACCAACTTCCCGGTCCGATACCTCCCACCATTGGTCAATTAAGCAAGCTCTATGAACTCCACCTTTCACAAAACAGCTTTAGTCAAATACCAGTTGAGATTGGACAGCTCCAGAATCTGCAAACCATCCTAGACTTCAGTTACAATAACCTCACTGGAAAAATCCCACCTTCAATTGGAACGCTGTCCAAACTCGAAATGCTCGATCTATCACACAACCAACTCACTGGAGAACTCCCTCAAATGGATGAGATGAGAAGCTTAGAAAGACTGAACTTCTCTTACAACAACCTTCAAGGAAAATAGGACAAGCTATATGCACACTGGCCGGCTGATGCTTTTGCTGGGAACGTGAAACTTTGTGGAATTCCTCTTCAAATGTGCAAGGACCTAGAGCCTTCCCATCAGGAATCAGGTCTAAGTGAATCATCTGTGCCAAGCGTGATTTAGATGGGTTGACATCATGGACGCCACAAACAATCCAAGGGATGAGTTCATAATTGGAGCTGTATGTCACGGACCTAAAGAACTCC